GATAATATTATAATTTTTATTCTTTTTTGGTGAGATGCCATTGCCACGAAGACGATTGAGTTGTATTTTGTGTAAAATGTATGCACGCTTGAGGAAGAATGTGTTAACATAAATGATACCACGTCGGCACGGAATCTTAATGTTACTTAATGTTTAACCGCAAATTTGTTAACGTTCATGAACTATACAAACACCATATTATAAATAAATCAATTCTAAACTAATGCAAAACAAATTCAATTAATTTGTGAGTTAATTGCTACTCTCCTTAGACGGGTTGGTTAACTTCATCATCAAGTCTACTTATAACAATTAATAGCATCCCAAAGTTGTGTCAATTTTTTAATTTGTGATAAGACGTGGGAAGAAAGTTTCTTCCAAAAGTTTACAAGGATTTCTTAGGATTTATTTACACAATAGCCTTTAAAGCGGATGATTCGATTGAGTTTTGAATAAATAAAGAATATGTATAATTTTTCTTGCATATTGTATTTTTACGCCGCTATATTTTGTATTAATATGCTTTTAAATTTAATTTTGATTTTTTTTTTTTTTTTTGGTAATAACTTAAATTATATAAACTTTTTTAAGTATTTCGCTCAGCTCTTCCCTAAATGCGGCGATGGATAGACTATCAAATTGTTATTTATATATAAGGCTATAAATCGAATCCATGTAACTTTTTGAATTGGATGTGTTTATAGAACGATATAAATTCCACCGTATACTACATTTCGTTTTTGCTGACACATTTTTTAAGAATATTATTCTTTTGTTAGGGATGGAAGGTGTTTTATATTTTACACATATCAATGTAACTTATTTAAATGTAAATCATATTATACGTGATTAGCAATTTTATAAAAATTATTCATAATAAACTATTAATTTGCTACAGACACAAACTTTCATTTATTATCGCCATAAATAATGTAAGGTAAGAACGTTTTGTGCACTACATTTTTTTCATTAATTCCGTCAGTGTTTGTGAACTTTAATTGAATTCTGTCAGCGCACTATTTCTTATATTGTAACGAATTATAATATATAAATATAAGTGAATGTAATTGATCTATTTATAATATTTACAATTTTTTTTTTTCAATTTTTTTAATCAGAATTATATTTGTTCAAATATAACTGATGTATCTTACAATGTAATATAATATATATATACACCTGATAATATTTATTAGTTTTACTTATGGGTCAAAAGTAATTAAAAAAAAATTATTCTATACTTGTTTTTGTAATTTTTGAAACATATATTAGCTCATTATTAGCTCATACAAACTTTAAAATATAAATTGGCATAAAACTCACTTCATTTTCAATTTCCACGTCTACATTACATACACAAACACACACACACACACGCACACACACACACACACACACACACACACACACACACACACACACACACACACACACACACTCATATAATGACGTATTTGAGTAGGGTTATATTTGATTTACAACGTATGTGGGCTACTACAGTTTAATATCCTTCACGCGATGCACTTAATACATATAGTATTCGTTCACTTCAATAAACGATTTCAACGTTTGATCTTAATTGGGTTTAATTCGAGTGTAATATGCGTGCAGTTACAGCGAACTGCAGTTGGAACGAGTATGTATTATATTTAGCGTTGTTGTCTTCGCTTTCGTATTATATTCATCTTGATCACGTAGAAACGCATCGGTATAATCAAACTGTAATACGGGTTTGTGCAATTGGTTTGTAAATCTATTTAAAATACATAACCCAAACATTTGCGCCCACCTTTTGCTTAGCGTTTTAATTATGCGATATTTAATTGTCCTTTATTAGTTCATTCACTAATCGCTTTAATACATGTTATATATATTATTTATATCGTGTGAGCACACGCCATCGTTTTAATATATGTACATAAATTCTATCTTATACTGTTGCGCATTATGAAATTATGGCCAGTGGTTCAAAAACTATGTTATACGTGTACATACAATCGTATTTATAAATTCGGGGTCAGCAATATTTCTGTAGGAAAGAGATATTTTTCTAAAATTTTACAAAATCATGATATCCAACGAGCCGTATTGATGTAAATAAACTTTCACCCCTCCCCTCACCTAAATTAAATATAGTCTAAGTTTATGTTGATTATAGTCAGCAAGTCAGGAAATGTGAACCAAGTAATATTTAATTAGGATTTAATTATTATATTATAAAGAACGCATTTCAAATGAGTGTCAGTTTTTAAATTGATAGTATAATTTTGATGTAAGAAGAAAATAAGTTGATGTGAGGCATACCCAAATAATCTGCAGGTTTCTAACCCCTAGTATTAACGAATAAAGTGTACAATATTATAGACTACGTAACACGCGTTCGGTTACCCATTATTATTATCATTCAATGTTCTCGTCATTATTCCGTATGTATAGTATATATATATATATACATATATGTAGTATTTGTATATATGTGTATATACGTCAGACACATAGTATTATCAAAATGTGTTTGTCGAGAGGGAGTGGAGACGGTTGTAGGAAAAAAACTGATCAAATGACATATTATGATTATATGGATACGTAACAGTTAATTGCAGTGTTATGCTTAAAAAGTTTGGAAATCATGAGTTTGCGTTGATTGCCATTCACGTCTATTCGCATAGGTTAAATAAAATAATAACACGTCGTAATATGAATAGTTTACATCATTTATAATTTCATATCAAGATAAATTTATCTTTAATTGCCGTACTTTAAAATATATGTACATTGTTATTTGTTTTACATGATTCTCGGTAGATTTTCAGAGAGCACACACACAAACGTACACATGTATGCCACGTGAAAATCCATTGTGCTCGAAGAACTAAACTTTAGTTTAGAGCGATTATGTGATGATGTAAAAAAGAACATTCCATATTAATAATAATAATAATAAACATGTTTCTTTTAGAAAAATAGTTATTTATTATTTTTACTTTTACGAAATTCCCAGGTCTGATTAAAATAATCGAATCAAAAAGCCCATTTTTTCATTCTATAATTTGTCGGTTGAATGAATTTGAATGGTTTTCGAAGATTTCAGAGAAGAATCTACGTACCTAGTATACTTCGATATTCGAGTTTATTTGAAAATAAAATCGATTTTATCATTATTTTTCATATTTTTTTTATTCCCATTTGAAGTAAAACTTACGTACAAATGGTATAGATGCCGTATGATTTTTTTCTTATGAGGATACACTAACTTACGAATTTACTATCATAGAACAAAGATCGAAATATCTTGGAACTTAAGCAAGAAATTCTTCATGTCCTCAACGAACTTGATGGGTCAATATATTATCCAGTGATGGTACATTTTATGGAAAGAATAATGACCTGTAGGGCTAGTAGGGAGGGCTTTATGCTCGATATTGTTTTTCATTGTTAAACCTTAACTTCTCCTGAAGATAATGATATATTTGTTATATTTTTTTCAAAGAAATAAATTAAATTTATAGCAGATTTAAATCCTGCGTTCTTTTTGAAACACCTTATACAATCTATAATTAAAATAACCCCAATAATACGTTTGTTTATTAATAACGGTAAACGGTAGTATAATATTTAATTCACACAAATATTCTTTTCGTTTCCTCAATTTATATTTATATATATTTTTTTAAAATATAGAATCTTGGTAGTATATACATTTATTATTGTTAAACTAAAAATAAAATATAAAATATGATTATTACAAAAGAAATTGCGACTAATAATGTAATACATTTTGTACGTAATAAATAACGTGGAGTTTTATTAAAGGTGACATGATTTACTGTTATGCGAAGCTACTTAGACTTAACAAAAACGGCAAATTGTAATATGACTACACACATATGAGAATAACATATATTTGTATTAATATAATTGTTTTTACTTGCTACCTATTCCGTTTGAAGTTGAAATATTTTATTTTTTTTAGACCATATAATACGTACTTATACTACGTTTCTATTTTGACCAAAAATTTTTCTCCGTGTAATAACGTATTTGTATCTTGTTTCATGATTTGATAGCTGTATATAATTACGACAAGAGCAGTCCTAGTGAATATCAGCAATATAAATGTAAATATTTTAGAAAACTTATTAATAAATTATTTTTATTGATTATTATTAAGTAGTAAATTTGTATGTAAATGCATATTTTTGTATAATTTTTTACACCTACTTGGATATTTTGTGATTGCGTATTATTTGATTCTTATATAAATGTCTATACTATTTATTATTTTTCATAAAATAAATAATTAGTAGCTAACGATTTTCAAGAAAAAACTTGATTTCTATGTTTCCCTTAATTATCCCTAACATTAGGTATTTTATAATTTTCAACGAATTTCAATAGTAAAAAAAAGATCCAAATAGTTTTAAATTTAAAATCTACTGAATACTGAAACATACATTTATTCTCAATGTTTAGTGGATAATAATATAGTTATGATAATTATAAGTGGGTGTTACGTCTAATAAATAACATGTTGAGCATTTTAATAAATGTGTAATTTTAAATATTTAAGCATATTATTAAATTTTTTTCTGTTTTCTCAAATAATAAAGTCACTCTTTATTTTCAATGTTTAAGTTGATTAGTTCTTGTTTTGTTGGTAATTTAATAATATTTTTATACTCGACAATTTTTAACAATACATTAATGATAGTTGATAGTTAAAATTAAATTTTTCTATACATACGACGAGAATTTTTTCGAAATTAATTTCTTATATGCTTATTTTCTGTAGGTATCATCACAGTAATACTAATATTTTGGATTGTGACCTTTTTATGTAATTCTATTGTTATTTATTTTATACTATTTTTAAAATAATTTCTTTTTCATCCCAAAAATTTAAAGAAAATATATTTTGTTTTCAAAAAAAATGCTATGAAATAATTCATTTTTTAATTATTTCTTAACCCAATAATATTTAATAATATTGATTTTTATAGATGAATGCAATTTCTGCACAATGGTCAGTTTAAAATCCTTTGTTTGCTGAAAGTGGGATTTTGACTTCTAAAAAGAATCCAAAAAACAACTAGGTAGTTACCTCCGTTGGATCAAAGTATTATACTTCGGAAGCTCAAAGGTAAATAACTCATTATATAGATATATCCACAATCTATAAATATAAAGATGGACAGCATTAAATTTTGAATGGTAAGGTGTATACAATCATCAACAAAGGAGGGAACTGCGTAAATCTATATTATTAATGGAAGTTTTGTAATAATTATAATTAAGTTTTATTGCTTGAGGCGTCAAAACCAAAAATTTAGCAAAGAAAATTGAATTTGCTTATAGTGAAGTTAAATAATAACAATAAAATGTAGAGAAGACTCCTGCGAAAGATTTATCAACGGTTAGGTTATACATGATAAGTCTTATTAATTATAAAATATAATAAAATGCTTGAATAACTTTAAAAATAAAAAATAAAATATTATTGATTTCGTATATTTTAATTCTTGGAATTTTCAATTAACAACTTATTTATTTTTTATTTAATTTTAATTTTTAAAGATAAAAAGCCTTACTGAATTATATATGCATATTGGAACATATGATTATTTATTACAACATTGTTTTATTGATTGATTTTTCGACATTTTATAAGTTACTTAGTCACTTAGCCAAAAGCATAAAACCATATTATTTACATTATCTATTGTTGTGTATGCAAAAAAAATGAGTGTATTGTTACAACTTATTTACAATATGTCTTATTATTGAATACATATAAATGTTAAAATATTTTATTACTTTATATTTCCACGGACCATCTCATAAAATAAGCTCAGGAAAGCTTTTTATTTTTATAACTACAATAGGTAAATGTATTCTTAATAATATATTCACGTGATTTATAAAAACACTTAATGTATTATGTACTTATGTTGGAATTCTTATAAATATTTATGTATTTTATTTCTCAGTTATGAAAACAAAAAAATAAATTTTTAACTATCTATTTTGAATGAACAATAATAAATACAATATTTTTGTTTTAGTTTGTCATGTATTAATGCCTTTTTATTTCATTGTTGTTATTTGCTATCTACTTAAAATGTGTTTTGTGTAAAAATATTCTTATGATTGTCGAAAGTTTTAAGCAGACTGTATTATATTAATTTAAAATATAATATACTGATAAATATTCTACAAAATTGAACGTATTTTAATTTCAAGATGTTAGTATTTAATATTTTAATACATTCAATACATATATTTAATAGTATATTTATAATATTTGATGAACTGTCATTATCAGTACTTATGATAATTTATTGTTTTAATATTTTATTATTACTGAAAATAAATATTAACTTGTAATAGCAATAATTTATAAAACATCACCACACTTTAATAATTATTTTAAGTATTTATATAAATGTATATGTTACGGGCAAATTATACAATTTGGGCGTTTTATAAATTGTCCGGACAGTATATAAAATGCTCTCCGTATATTGGTCAATATAGATAACGAATTATATGATTTAATGAAATATGATAAATCAATGAATAATGACATATGTTTATATTATGTAGATATAAGCAGATATAATTGGTTGCACCACCATCCTTTCTTGGCTGTGCTTCCTTTTTTTTTAACACAATTCGCAACTATTTAAGTATAGCATAATCATATCCCTAGTGATATTTTTATATAGGTACGCACTGAATGAATTAACTTGCACTATACAAACGATTCGCGGTTACTAAATAGTTCATTTTTGAGAATAGGTAAAAGGCCGACTGTACGAAAAGTACTACGACTACATATAATATAACTTATAAATCAGTAAATATAGTAATATTATAATATGTCACGTACACGCCTATAATATGTGGTCAAGCGGACATCCACATTGTAAAAACACGATAAGAACAAACAAACTAGTTACAGATAGTAATTTGACTTTATTTTAACTATGTTTTACGATTTATCATATTTCATTAAATCATATCATCCGTTATCTATATTGCCCAATATACGAAGGGCATTTTATATATTGTCCGGATAATGTATAAAATGCCCAAATTATATACTTTGCCAATAACATATATAAAAAATATAATAATATAATAATACAATATTATACAACAATATAACAAAATAAATGTATATAAACCATATAATGACAATAAAATATATAATTATAACTGTTATCATAAGTATAGCGGTTCTGGACAGGTTCATAAAAAGGAAGTGGATCAAAAAATATATTTAAAGTTCTTTGGGCACACATCTTTTATCAGCATAAAAAATGATCACATGTTTCTCCGTGAAACCATCATAATATTAACTTTAAAACGTAAAAATAATTAAGAATTTTTTTGATTTTATAGTACGTAATATTTGAAAAATGAAGAATGTAATTCTTTTGATTTTTTATATAGGTAATTTTAAATTTTATTTTAATTGTAACTACTTCAGAGTATTTACTCATTTTATTGTAAAATCTAACCAGCTAATTATTTACTAGTTTTACTAGCTTAATGTAAGCTTATATATAATCAAACTTTACTTGGGTCTTGATAAAATTAATTCATTATTATACTATAGTTGAAAAAGTTAGCTAATTACATTTTTTCTGTTTCAACAATAACAATTTTTATAGTTTGGTATCACTAACACAAAGCATATATTATTTCACCAATATTTTAATGATGTAATTAGGTATAATATTTTCAAATTAATACGTTTATGTTAATATTGATTATACATGTTGTGTACATATTTTCTTAAAATTAATAAAATACTATCAGCTATATACAAACAATTTTACATTAAATTATAGATAAAGTTGTTATTTCTGTTTTTCGTTGATACTAGATAAACAAATCTATATTTACGTATATTTTATTTAAATACTTTTATAAATTAATTATGCTTTAATGTAAATTTAATAAACTTTCTTTCTATAATTAGGTAATAATTCATGACTTTCTTAGCAAAAATAAATTTTAAGAAAAATTGACAGATAAATTATTAAATATAAACTAATTAAAATATTTTCCCAAAATTTAAATTTTTATCAATAATAAAATTATTATTATCTAATATTTTATTTCTAAATGACAAAAAAATAAATTTGTATCGTATTAATCTATATCACAAAGTCGTAAATCACGTAAATAAACTATAAAAATAGTTTTTGTGTGGATGGACAAAAATAAATTTGCGCTTCTAGGAAACCTAGCGCGGAGTCTTATAAATTGACTGATCGAAATTGAAAGACGACTTTAAAAAACACGGAAGAAATGAAGACAATTTATAACAATGTACCCATACAAACATTATTGATTAAATTACAATTTACGGACAAGTGTAAAATACTACTCGAGATAAAAATAATTCATGTGAATTCTACGAGAAAAACATTGGGTCGAGTTTGGGTTTGTATGTGTAAATTACATCCTAAAATAACAGACATTGTAAATTATTATATAAACATTGATATTATATTTTCAAACTGACTTTCTTTCACACTAAAGTGTAGTTTCCGATCACTTTAAACTGTAACTCGAATACTTAAAAGGGATCTATACTTAACGAGGTCTATTTCTATTTTTATTTTTTTGTATAAAAAACATAGGGTTCTATATTGGGCGTAAGAAAGCTGCATATATAATTGTGTATGTTTACATACGTATATAAATTTACGGATACCACAGATGGGTAAGCGTTCCGAGATGAGTGCCAGCCACTATAATGCTATATTTATATATAATATTATTTGAATCTTTCTTGGAGTGCAATTTATTTTCTCTCAACTTGCACGCGTATAGCCTAGAGACAAAAAATTTTCACCAGAGTTTAAAATCCCTATAATATTTTAGTTTATATACTAGTTTCCTTTGGATGGAAATTTCTGAAACCCTCGGATTTATGTCGTACAACGCATTACATAGTAATAATGAAAAAAAACAGTCAGAGGATCTCCTTATATACCCGTTTTTTAGTCACAATTTTTTACATTATGTTTCGAGGCTTCAATAAAGTCGCTATTATAATGCTTTATTAAGTTGGATATAACGATTTGTATGTGGCAACACGCTCGATATTCATACATCCCGAATAAAGAATCCAATTCAACCCGTCAATGATACCTTAAAGGAACAGAAAAGCTCCACTCGTTGACAATGATGAAAATGTGTGTACAGTATAAGTGTATGCTTTGAAAGGAAACCTACGAAACAAATTGTGACTGACCATAAAATCACCTGACCAATTATATGATCTAATAAATCAAAAAAAAAAAGAAATTAACAATATACAGATGAGAGATGGATTGTAGAATATTAAACTCTCAATGTTTTATTTGATAAAAATATAAATTATGTATCTTGTAACGTAATATACTTTATCAACAAAATTATTAAAATGTTTAATGAAAAACGCAGTGTTAAACGATAAAAAAAAAGTAACTAATTATTATTCTTGTAAAAATGTGCAGAAAAACGTTTTGAATAAAACCACGTGGTGATTTACTGTATTTTATATTTACATAACTAATTATTTATTTATTCTAAAATTTATTATTTTTATGTATACAAAAGTTTGTTTGTAAAATAAAAAATATAAACTAATTTTGTTAAAAACTATCATTTCTTCGCTCTTATTACTTGTTGGAGTCGAAATTTTGAATTCTGATTAGTTTTACCTTACACATGAGCGTATTTTACCTCGTTTTAATATTACCATATCATTATTTTAAAATAAATTTTAAGTGAAGTTATGAAAAGACTGATATTCTAAGTTTAAGTTCTACTTATAACTAACGAATGTAACAATAGATTAATCAAGCATAAAGTGGGGGAAAAAACTTTCTGGTATTATAAAATTATTTTTTTTTTAATTAATGCTACCAGTAAATTGTATAATTTAACGGGCAAGTTTTTTTTTTTTTTAGCAGTATCGACTTGTGCAGTGAAAATAAAGCCAATAAAAAATTTAAACGTATTAATTTTAAAATAATAACGTATTGTTAACACGAAAAATAATTTGATCAATAGAAAATTTAAAAATCGTTCATATATTTCTATAATTTAATAATAAAAATGGGTAATCAAAAAGATATT